AATGAGAAACAGTTATGAAATACTATATGACAAAACAAGAATACAGTTTAAAAGGGGAGTGATTTGTAAAATATAAGAAAAATGAAATCTGTTTACAGTTCTGTTTCATATGGGTGTTGAGAGATGTATCCATAGATCTCTTAATTTTTCTCTCAAAGTGCACCAGATTGATGCTTTTAACTTCAATATTTAAAAAAAAATCTTCCCGGGGGAAAATGCCCCCAGACCCCCCTAGCGGAGGTTTGGACCCCCCTAGAGGATGTTAGGTCCACGGTGTTTACATGCTTATTTATACAATATGTGTGCTCATGCTAACATCATAAGACAAAAGTTGGTTCAGTGTTGTGTGTAGTGAGAACGCGCTAGATTGAGGGGGGCCCCCAAGCCAAAGCTCGCTTAGGGCCCCCAAAAGTCTAGGGCCGCCCTGACAGTCCCCAGAGATAGCAAGGAGAGCAGTATCTGTTGAGTGACCTGCCTTGAAACCAGACTGGTGCGGATCAAGAAGGTTGTTCTGATGGAGATAACATTAGAGTTGTTTAAAGACAGCGCGTTCAAGTGTTTTAGACAGGAACGGGAGGAGAGAGACAGGCCTGTAGTTTATAACATCGGACGGTTGAGAGTGGGTTTCTTTGGGAGAGGGTTCACTCTTGCCTCCTTGAGACTATTTGGAAAGTGACCAGAAGCACTACAAACAGGTAAAGGGAAAAAAACATTGAATTTATTGCAAGAGATCATTCAAAAAGTGTGTTAAAATACGTTGAGCGAATGTGGCCATGGTTGCTAATTTAAAAGGCCCATTACTTTAGGTAGCAACACATTCTCATACATAATTTACAAAATGAACATCATGTTGTTGTGAAGAGGACTTACTACTAACAATTAAGACCATGAACTCATAAGTAAAATGCTTATTTTGTAATCAACCAATATAGAAGTAATTTTTTTATAGACTTCTCTACAATCTGACTTCTTGCAACAAGTGAAGTCATAGAGTTGTGTAAGTTTAATGCAAGTCCAAATTGGCTTCACTTATCAGAACTTTGCCTAAATACAGCTTCAAACTCTTCAGACTGTTAGTTTTGATAAAATCATCTTGAAAAGTGAAAAACTAGAAAGTTTCAACAAAATGTTCCATGCTGCTCTTGCAGCGCACTTATTTTCCAATCAGGGATTCCCAACGCCTTTCAAGTCATGGGATTGCCTAAAGCCAGCAGCTATACTCTTTTGTGTTAAGAAGGGTTGAAGTTAATAGAGCAGAAGGGAACCTAACCACAACCCTTTCTATCGCAATCATCTCGATCCAAGCTTTTCTTTACCATGGTGTCAGATTAATCACTATAGGACGAGAGGTCAGGCGGGTTATGTGTGAGAGGAGGAGAGATGAAGAAAACAAGAGAGAGGATGCTGTGGATGAATCGACAGAGTATAGGGAGCATTCGGGAGGGAAAGTAACAGATGGACTTGTGAGGATTAGAGAAATCTGGGTGGGTTTCTGGTGCAAACTGGACCAAGACGGAAGAGGGAGTGATGAGCGAGCGCAGAGGAAAGGTGAAGGATACCGAATCCCTGTTCGAGAAGAGGGGAACTAAAGGAGTCTCAAACACAGTGAGTCCAGATACATTTTTGTGCTTTCTTTTGGCTGCACAAGTGTGAACTTAATCAAAAGTTGAGCTTGGACAGCAGCTGGATTTTTATAATCGCATGCATGTAGGGAGAGATTTCAGTTTAGCATGATGAAGTATTCACTGTGAATCGCTAGCTGTTTTAAAGTGGAGAATATATTTGTGCTTTTGATGTCTCTGTAACTCGTCCAAAACGTATTCTTAAAATCACTAAGAATGTTCTATTTGGTAGGATAGTAAAGTGGGCGTGCATTGGTGTATCTGCTGTTGATACCAGGTGTGAGGAAACATTAACTCTACACATGTTTGTAAGGTTCAAGCAGAGCAATAAAAGCCTTTACCGGAGATGATTTGTTGGAACAAATTGACGCATGGTTAACCTAACCATTTATGATTTCAATGGTACAGCATTGTATCAGATTAAGTCTTTGTGAGGGGTAAAAAGAGAGGAGAATTACTTTCTTTATTCAACTTTTATTATCCCAGAGTTGAAATTGCATTTTTGCGTCTGCCATTAGTAAATCAAAACATTTATTTTAGGTTCATTCTCTTTGTCCTGCTTACTCATCATTACACACTCATACTGTGTTTAATTCTAGTTTGCCAAGATCTCAAAAATGTCAGGCAAGTTACTGGAGTTAAAGCTAATGAGTAAAATGGCGAAAACTGTACGTTAGCGGTTTGTTTAAACTAATCTGCAGGTATACCTCAAATTGCACTGCATGATAACAGGAAGCTGAACCATATTGGACATGTTGGCCAAACATTGTTCAGAAAACCTATTAAAGAGGGTCATTTTCAGCTTGTTGATTGAAAATTAAGTTGTATACACTGCCATGTACTTTTAACCTAGTTTGGCAAGGTGCAGAATAAAGGCCTTTACACACCCACTCTGTTTAGTGCTATTTTGTCATGAATACTTTTGCACAGAAAGCGGATACAATGTGGCAAGAATGCGTAGTAGTTGTTTTTATAATAAGGGCGATTCTTTTTTAGCATCAGCAGAGTGAAAGGATTTGATTATTTTGCATTTCCCAGTGTTTATTTGTATAAAGAAGAAGAAGGACAGAGATAAGTGTCATGTTTAATTCCTAGGAATTCTCCTATTGTTACTTAGCCTAAGCTGTTACCTAAATCAAAAAATAAGACTGTGATTAAATAATTATTTGAAAAAACAAACCAAAAAAATACAAATAAAGAAGTATTGAAGGTTTTTGGTGCATCAACATACAATAATAACAAGAGTGTATTGGCAGAAGACTTGAACAAAGACTTTCATCAAAGGCATGACTCAACTGTTTATCTCTTAATCCAGATGTTTGCCTCTGTCTCCTTTTAGGTTGCCGTCGAGGCTTAAGACAGCATGAGAGACAGTTTACATTAATACCATCTACCTAACCCTGCAAGATTACAACAGATTACCAGGCTCGGGAGTAGGCCTGAGAAACCGGACTAATCACTCCATTGTGAGCTCAATCCATCCTGAAGTGGTGGAGCAACAGGTTGGAGAAAGGGATGTTCCCTGAGAGCACAACATATAAGTCGCAATATCCTAATGACGAGATTTAGATGTTTATCTTCATCTGAGAGGAGTACAAGTCTTAAAAACTCTGGGTCAAGATGGCTGAGGACACCTGGGGTAGAGTCGCAGCTCAATGAGAAGAAATGTGTGGAGTCAAACGCGGCGCATGGCTCGTGCCGTAACATCAAGCAAGACAATAAGTCTCTTACTTGAATCTGATGAACTTTTTCCTACTTTTTTCTCCACCTGAATCTGAAGCAGGAGGAGAGCTGGAGTTCCCCGTGTCAACTCTGGCCTACACATCTGTCTCTTTCTTACACTTCGCTGGAAGTGATTAAATCCCAGCACTCCACTGTCCTCTGACCTCCGCTCATTGACTGTTCCTCAAGCCCCCTTCCCTTTCTCCATCTCTCCAGCCGACCTCTGGCTTTTGAACCACAATCATCCCTAATCCCTTCTCTCCGCTTTCACCCTAATTTTCCCTTCCTACCATCCTCCATTAATCAATCTCAATCGCCACAACATTCAGGATTCCCCTCGCTCCTCTCATCCTGATTGGTCCACAGAAGCTCTTAGGCTCTTCAAGCCATTTTTGAACGAAGATACATTTTGAAGTGAAGTCGAAGCACTCACTGGCCCTTAATTCTTTCTACATAAGGTCCTTTGTTAAATTGAGAAGCAACAATGCTGGAGAACATGTCCAGACGTAACCGCTCCCTGCTGTCCCTTTCCCTCACCTCATTGGCCCTCACCCTGTCCGTCTTGGCGTTCTGCACTTCCTATTGGTGCGAGGGAACGCACAAGGTGGTGAAGCCCCTCTGCCTGTCCCCTGTCAAGTTGAAAAACTGCGGGACGAACAACAGCCAGCCGTATACCACAGGTGAGGCCAGGAGTTAGTTTCAATTTCAATATGGCTGTCGCTGAAAACCAGATGCGGACAAACACAAGAATTGATTTGGTGATTTGCAATCTTGTATGTTATCCTTAAACTGTTGTTAATTTACTAAAAAAAATCTGTATGTTAATATTTCAACAAATTGCTTCAGGTCAAAATCCATCCTCATTAGAGTCAATCTTAAAACGGGATCACACCGTAAAGTGGGTTGGCCAATGCCCCTTCCCCACTTACTAGCCTCTCACTTCGGGCCCTTTGGCCCGGACCACACCCATCTTCAACTTCCACCTATATATTGATATCAAATACAATTTGTTGTTACATGGTTGTAAAGCTCTTACAAGTGTCTAAATCTTTCAAGAGACACATACGCAGACTCACAAGGTAAAAACAATTCCAGCTTCGCTATCGTGGCTAGCAAAAATGCTATATTTGTCATAGACTTAAACAGTCTGAAACATGTATAAATATGCAGATTGCTGATTCCTTTAAAGAATTATCAAAACAAATCAAATAAAAACAGCTAATTGATTAAGAGTTGTAAGCTTTGAGTTGGCCTTTCTTTTTTTTCTGTAAATTACAAAGCTTGTTAATGCTCCCTCAACTCAAGTGCAACACACAGTAAATAAGCAATACTAATCCAAACACTTTCTTCATGTTAAGTTTAAACTCAAATTGAAAGTTGACTTTATTTTGTTTACACTTATGAATGTTGAAATGAAACCAAAACTCTCAAATAAAAAAGATGCACTTATATGCTGCCATCATCTTCTGTCCAATGCTGCTGCAATTAAAGCTGCATTAATGCAAAGATAATTGTACACATGTCGAATAGAGATATGTCTCTTTAACCTCCTTTATAAATGTGAAGGCAACATGTATGTCACTATTAAAAATGCCGATACTTCACTTCTAAGAACATCTGGCATGGAATGTTAATAATGTAGAATAACGATTTATAGTTCCATATATTGTAAACAATAATCTAATGCAGGATTTGGAGGCGTCCACAGTATTGACCTTGCACCTCATATTCAAGTATTTTACCCTCGACTTGGCCGACAGAGATTCACATAATCCCGGCTTTGTTGCTAATCTCAGAACTTTGTATATGTGACTGCATGTTATCTGGCTTCACTGACCCGCTGTCTTATCTCTCCGCACTAAGCCTATTTGTTTTCATGTAGAATTCAATTTTCCCTCCATAGAAAATGACAGATTACCTAAAGAACAGTGTTACAGAGCAGGATTGCGTTACACTGTGTAACCCAGGAGACCCCCTGTTGGGGTTTATGCCGCAGTTTCTTGGCACACTGGCTTTAAAATGAATCCCAAGCTGTTTTATTGATGAAGAGACTATTTATAAACGCACCTCTACTCTCTTTATTTCTTCAATGTATCTCAATTTCCCCCTCTTATTACCACTATTTGTCCCATTTATTCACCATCCAGAGACCCCCACCCCCGACCCAAGGATACCCCCCACCAATGTGACGTTGTCTCCGCTGCAGAAGGAGGAGCTGGCCAGGTTAAGGAAGAAGCAGTTGGCCAACGCCGTGCACTACATCTGGGAGACGGGCGAGGACAAGTACATGCTGCGATACTTCCACACCGGCTTCTGGCTCTCCTGTGAGAAGCACAATGAAGGTATGTATTCAAATGAATGTGAATACAGGACTAAATTCTCCATTACAACTAATTCTCCCCTCCCAAAAGTCCTTCTCTTCAATATCCTACGTATTTATTATCACCATAAATTATGTACTTAAAATATAAAAGATAAAAATACTTTTAGTACTAAACAGCTTCTGCGACTCACATATAAGGTATATTATTATATAAATATACTATACTTGTGCATTTTATATATCACTTTTTCCAGTCTCTGCGACCCCTTAAAGCGCTTTTACACCAGATGTCAGAATTCACCCATCGGCAGTCGTACACATACTGTATCTGCTCAGAAGAAACTAATATTTACATGCCGTCGGGATCTCAACCCATGCCTTTGGAAACAATATGGTGTTAAGTATTTTGACACATTGACATGTTCACTGCAGGGGCTGGGGATCAAATGACCATCAATGTTAGAGCAGAATTGTACTGTTGCTTGAGGTGGAGCTAGTTTTAACTACTTCATAAACGGGTAACTGGTGGCCTACAGTGATTACAAACATAGGGCAAAATGGTCATAAGAGACATTTTGGAGGTCATGAGATGATTAATGGGGTAAGGAAGAAGAAAAAACAAAGTTCTACCTCACAAATGTATATTTACTGTTTTGGACTGTCTCTACTTTTGTCCTTGAAAAGTGATTCATAAAGAAAAGGTCTCATATTGGTAATAAACTCATGGACAAATGAAATGTCAATCACAGGTCACAGCCTAAAAAGTTTGAAACCAGGGATGTTGTTTTTTCTAAAACACAGGAATTATTCACAGGGGACCTGCTCTCATTTTCCCATGTCAAACCATGAGCCTAGCATTTTCTGCTGAGGACCTTTTTTGGTTTTACGCCCCATTTCTGTGTCGCATGACATTATGTCCATATCATATTTTAACCCAAAATCAAACCGCAACGCTTCGTCACGTGACACAACCTCCCTTTTCCAGTTGGGACACGAAGTAGGGATGAGATCATGTACACAATTAATCCTTGTCAACAGATCCAGTGTCAATGGAATTATTGTGACTAGAAAGTGTTTGAGTCAACGCAGATTATTGATTGTTAATCCTCTCTTGAGTACTCAATAATGAGGATACTTTGTAAAAGCCTACAGCCACAGAACTAATGTATGTACAATAACTGTCTGGTACTGATTCAAACTGCCCGGAACATCTGTTTGAAGAGAAACAAGCTTACATGTTTGTTGTACACCAATTTAACGTTAATGCACCATCTGCTACAGAGAGAAGACCAGAAACCAATCGTCTAACTTAATCAAACCTGCTTAATTTACTACCACTATTCGGTTTACTGCTGTTCTTTCATGGTCAAAATATCTTTAAACTGTGGTGATGAAATGGAAGCCACACAGTATGCACCATTATTCAGTCTCTCCTCAAAAATAGCACACATTATGAGAGAAGTCATGCACAGAGACAAGCTTATGTATCCTGGAAAGAAAAAGTAATCACTGGCATGCATTGTTCTCACCAGAAGACACTGTCGTTGGTAGATTTCAGCGGTTTGACCTTTCATTCTCCCTCCCACAGGGATGTGAACTACTGGGCTTAAGGCAACTCTTATTAATACAGTGTTGTATGAAATATAGACGTACATTCTCAGCGGTTGTTGGAGAGTATTTACGTCACTGTGCACCAAAAACCTATATATTGGAGATGTACCATAAGGCTCTAATCCTTATGCTTCTTTATGAGTCTATAAGGACAAATGCATTTCGCTGTCATCCTCTAAATCAGTGTTTCTCAAATGGGGTATGTGTGTCAAAGGTGTTTAGATTAATACATTACGATTTTGGCCTTATAATATGTTTAATGAACATTTTAATATTGAATAACGGAAGAAAATCAAGAAAATGTATAGGTACTTCAAACATAGCAGTAGTACAGTTGAACACACGGAGAAATAAGTAACATTTCTCCAACTGAATTGACAATGCAACTAATGGGGGTAAAAATACCCTACAACTCCATTAACGTCTCAGTGTTATTGCATGATAGCTATTAGAGGTGTCTTCAAAACACACATTGAGGGTGCAGCACAAAAATGTTTTACGCAGGTAATCGAGCACTTTCAGGGTACATTATTGAAAAAAGTTTGAGAAACACTGCCTTAAATGTTAATTGACCTTCAATTCAAGTATAATACATTTTACATGGTTACATTTTGAAGACAAACATTTACCTTTTCAAAACAACTAACTCAGATGTTTCTCACCGTCAAGATGTCGATTCATGAGCTCTGTTGTGGTTGTTCTTCCAGGTGAGGATCAGGAGGAAAAGTGTCGCAGCTTCATTGAGCTGACACCAGGAGAGACACAAGGTCAGTAACAGGAAACAGAGACAATATAACCTTTATTCCCATTTACATTTCACAGCCAAACATTCAATGTATTCAGAAGTATAACCCTGTGGAAAAAGCATCGCATTCAAAAAGTATTTAAGTATTATCAGTGAAATATACTGATAGTATGACAAACTGTGAAACATTTTTTTTCTATATAGCCCTTACTGTCTGTGTTGTACCATCACATGATGCTTTGAGAGAAAACATGTCTGCTGAATTAAGTGGCATTTCACCTCTGATAAGCTCTTTTAATAATTTATTTAGCTTAAGAAGTGGGATATTCCTCTAACTCCACATTTGAATGTATATTGAAAAAAATATGAAGCATAACATTCTTGGTCTTGTTTGGTGGTCATTGACAGGTGTTAAAAGCAGTGGTGTAGTGGTCGTTGGACGCGGGGGATCGCCGTCCCCCCACTTATTTGGAGCCCGCACTTTTTTTGAAGCTTGATTTTTTTTTAATAGTCTCATAAATATAAAATCATTGCCAGTGTTATCATTTGCAAGTGTGTATTTGTTGTAATAATGACAAAAACATAATACATTTCACAGTAATTATAATAAAAAATAAAAACGATTTCCTTAAAAAAATGATGATTCGATTTTGCAGCAGCTCTTTCCCTCAAGAACGCAAACGAAACAGCACTATAATGGCAGACAAAAAAACGTTACTTACAGAGAGAGAGAGAGAGAGAGAGAGAGAGAGAGAGAGAGAGAGAGAGAGAGACTCAAGCATTGATGCAACTTAGGCCTATAAATTGTTTATGTAACTTATGTGCCGGTGTTTCCATGGTTTTGAGTCTGTCTGTGTGTTGTGCGTCTACTTTTTGCAGTACAGTAACTAAAGTAGGACCGGTAGTTTCTGTAGACCTGTCTGCCTGTTTTGCGTGCGCACTTGTGGCATTGTTTGGGATGACCTAATTAAAATAGCAAATCCCCACTACACCACTGGTTATAAGGGTTGCGCGTTTTTTTCTTTATGCTTCCAGGTGTTCTCTGGCTCTCAGTCATCAGTGAGTTCACGTATATCGGTCTTCTGGCCATGGGCTTCCTGCTCATGTGTGTGGAAGTGATTTGCCTCTGTGCAAAGAGGGAGATGAACGCCCTCAAGATCAACGCCTACGCCGCCATGTGCACTGTCCTCTCAGGTGAGGAGGTTCTTGTAAAACGTCTCTCTTGTTTGACCTTTCACAGCATCAAATATATAGTTCAAAGCATTTTCCAAACGTGTTAAGGTCAGTGGTGGCGCCAGAGATTGTACACATTTACCTTTTTCTAGACTAAACACAGGTATGATCCTAAGTTAAAAACATATGAGGTTATCATGAGGTTGTTAACATCGCAATTTATCAGTGGATGTTTGCTGGAACTACTTGTAAATAGCGTGTTTCCTGACGGACACACACAGCGTTGAGACCGGTCAGGTCAACACGTTCTCACTCCCAACCCGTCACATGTTGACGACGGTCAGGGCCTCTCCCCGTCACTCTATTACGGACAGGGTACCCCTTGAGAGTCAGTTTTCAACGGGCAGGGCAAGGCGTCCCATTGACTTGCATAGAGCTCCCTGAACGTTGGTAATAGACGAGTTGGGATTGCGGCAAAATGCTCTCCGCAGATCCATTCTCACAGCGTTTATCAACCTTTTTCTTACTCAATATCAAGCCACTCTTATTGTTTTTACTTCTTTATTTTAATTGAATAATGTAGGACTTTTGTTGCCGTCAGTTATGGGGAGAGTAGGGGCTCAGAATACTGAAATCTGTATTGTTTCATTGTTTTTTCCTTCTAATTTTGTATTCTTTTCAAACCTAACTGTTATTTACTCAACAATAACACATAATTATCCTTGTGTTTATTTATTTGTTTGATTAATAAACACAAGTTGGAGTCCATCAGGACCGAGGGTCGGAGCAGCTCATAGTAGTTGCTTTAGAGAA